GAGAACATGAGCAGAAGTCGAGCATGTGTCACGATAGAGCATTCCAAGCTAATTCGAGCTATTGTCGAGCCATTCGGAGCCATTATCGACGATGTACGCGACAGTAGCCCATTTCACCTAGCGAATGGTTTTGCCAGTTAGCGAGTTCAAGCACACCAGTTTGCTACTGAGCGAGTGTCCCTTATTAAAATGTGTATGTTTATGTGTGTGTTTGTGGTGTAACTAGAAATACACTTTTTTGATTTGTATTTTGAACACACTCCTTCATTTCTCAAATTTTTTGTTAGGAAATTAGTTCTTATTCTCTCTTTTCTCTCTCTAGTTTATGGTTGGAGCTTCAAGAATTGAATTTTCTGGCGATTTTTCTGGCAATGTCATTTTTTCGAGCTTTTCGCGTTTATTTCATTCGGGCATGCAATAGGAAGTAAGTACCTAGATTAGTATTTATTATCTTGCATTTGCTCTATTTTTGGTTACTACGTGGTTTGAGGTGAACATAGCCTCTTGGTCAGAATACTTGTGGATTGACTTGTTTTTTGTTAAAGTTTTCATCTTTTCTTTCGTTTTGCTTGTCTAGTGTGAGTAGTTGCTTAAAGGTTGAATCTTTCAAAGTAAAAATTGAGACTTTGTTAAAAGTTCGGTTAGTTTATAATTGAATGTTTAACTCTAGCCTAGTTGCGTTAGATTTAGCTCGTTTCTCGTTGTTTTTGTCTTTTGAAGACTTTGAGTTCGATAAAGCTCTAATCTTTCGATAAAGTCCATGCCATTAGTTAATTGCCTTCAATTTCGTAGATTAAGTTAGCTTAAAATCAATCCTTCATCTTCTAAGAATGTTTAGGACCTTGTTTTCAATTTTTGTGTTTCGACGACTAGCTAATAAACGAAGCTCTGAATAACCTTCATCGAGAGATACGAGCCAAGGTCGATCTTTTGATCGTACTCAACTATAAACTACAAACAGGCCTCGACTCCGAAAAACCATCCAGGGCCAATATACTCCAAAAATCAGGTCCGACAGATGGTTGCCTATTAGAAGGTTCAACCTTTGAGACATACCATGCGGGGTCCACATCGCTATAAATATGTGTCTCCATCACCAGAGGCTCCTCATAAAATAATGGGCGGGCGGTCGTACAATGGTCGTCAACTTGCTCTCTGTCGAATTCGGGGATGTCAACGTGAAACAGGCCTTCTCATGGACCATATTCACGATCAAATTCCCTCTGCATAGGCCGATATTCTTCACCTCCATGACAGGTCCAAAAAATATGCCCAAAATCCCAACGCGACTCATCGCTAACGTATGTCGGACGCCACACGTATCGCTGCTGATGTCAATCTCACGTGATGTTGTCGCACTGTAGGTTCCAACCCTGTTGCAATTGTTCGTCATCAAAGTACGTTACATTGCGCTCGATGTCCCAACCACGTCGCTGTCGGTCAGAACCCGTGAAGCCGGCGCCATCACGTTCAAGACCCCAATCGCGTCGGACACGATATCCACCAGCGAAGGTAGCCTCTTCGTGTCTGCCTCTGTCGTCGCATTGATCATCGTCGTCCACGATGACAGGGCCTCTTCGCGAAATGTCACGACCACCGCATGCAGCGAAGGGGTTAGCCTCAACGTGCGGGGGTGGATAATAGCCGAAGGGTTATAATATAGCCATATTACGGTGAACCGAAAATACAAGCGACTCAACCGGGATGCAAGTCGAGTCGTACAATGAAGACTCGAGATTAATAAATGACGACTAGAGAAAACTGTCGAGAGGACATCAAACATCCAAGATCGACTCTGCTCGACGAGGGAGGTCTCGTTGGCCTCAAGGATCTCTTAGCTCATCGATGTCGACTCTCTATTCCTCGAAGAGCTCTCAGCTTCTCAAGGTCAGCTCTCCATCCCTCGAGGACGACCTTCTACTCCTCGAGGTTGACTCCCCACTGCTCGAGGATGCCTCTTTGTTCCTCGAGGTGAACCTTCTATCACTCGAGGACGACTCTTGTCCTCGAGGTCAACTTCACCCATTTGGGATAGGATCTAAGACACATTTTTCATCTAGGATAACCCTAAGTCGATCTCTCACACTTGAAATCGATGTCTCATGCCTCGCGGCTTGAGGCATGTAGCAAATCTACTCCAATATTTGGCAAGCTTAATGGAAAAGGAAGAATCTTAAGAGGAGAAGATGGAATCTTCAGCTGACTCAGATCTGATTAAGAGGTAATTAGGATGTAAGCAAAACCGGGTAACTGGGGCGAATGATTCGAGGCATTTCTGGTAGATATTTTTCCTATAAAAGGTATTGAGGTAACACCAAACCCTAATTTTGACACTCTCTACACATTTCTTAGGTTGCTGCTCCCTGAGCAGAGCACATTCATCTCTTTTTTATACTAACTTAAGTATCGGAGGATCTACGCCGGAAACCCCTCCAGCGTTGAGTTCTTGCAGGTGTTCACGGTGATCTAGAAGCGGTTCAGACAAATCGGAGCTCATCTCAACCGGTTTACTTGAAATCCAGGAGGAGACCCATCAGGATATTCATCTCCGAAATTGTCGCAACATTGTATTCATTGTCGGGCGGTGGTTGTGGAGATCTGTGGCAGGCGATCCGCCTTGACCATGACCTCCAGGTCCACCGCGAATTCCACTGCGAACGCTTCGGTCCCCGGCGTCATGGTCTGTTTGCAAATTCTCAACCATGTTATTTATTGTAAGACGCACTTCTTCGATCCCCGTAAACAGATCCTCAACCCGATGATCCAATTGATTGATTTGGCAGCGGAAGCCCATGGCATGTTGACCCGGATGCTCAATGGTAGCGTCACGCCCATCGATGTTGTCTATTCACGGCGGCATCTTGAATCATGTTGACTTCTGATACCAACTGATATAGAGAATCGTACGAGTTGGACGATATTAATAAGATCGTAGTCTCAAGAATACCTAAACACGATGTCAAAATTCATATTTTATTCAAAATCTACCACTCAACAATAAGGCATATGAATCATTTATATAAGGCTATGAATATCAAAATCTAACTTATTTTCCAAGTTACCTATTAAATAATAATGCTAATAATTATATCCTTAATAATAATCTTATATTCGCATCAATTACTCTTATACCCATATAAATATACCCTCAAAAATTTCACAATGAATGGGAAGCTTTTCACAAGCCCTAGAACAATTGGAGATCTTTGTTGGGTTTTATGAAGAACATCGGCCTAATAGTAAATTAAAAACTTATCGAATTAAATTTTATTGCAGTGGAATCCATTGTTAGGATTGAGGCCGTACTTTTTAAAATTTTGTGCACTCTAAGACGATTACACAAACTACAGGGTTGAACGAACAATTCTGAGATGCATCCTGTAGCCCACGTCCACGCCATACACTGCCCTTTGCTGAGGCGTCGACCGCAACCCGCTGCTCGCCGATGAGAGCTGGTCGCCACGCCTCGTGGCTCGTTGCATCGTCGAGGAGCTGTGTGGGAGCCTCGCGTGTGATGTCTGGTGTTGTCTGCGGGTGGTGCACGCTGGTGGTGGTCGTCATCGCGTCGCCTTGCTGGTTTGTGCCTGGTGTCGCTGGTGGTCCTGGCGCGTGCGGTGGTCGCTAGTGGTTGAGTACATCGAGTCTGGTGGTCATCGGACAAGCCCCGGGGATATTTATTCACCGGGATGTAAATACAAATTACAAAACTATTCACTTGCTCAGAGTGGCCGATGTCGACGGCTTGTCAGATCTCCCGAGCGTTCACGCATATTCACACAATTTTTGCTCTCCCCCCTCGCTCTTGGTTTTCACTATTTCTTGCTTAAGACTAAGAAGAACTCACGTGTGTGTTATGTTTTGGATGCTAAAGATTTGGTGTATTTATAAACTACGCACAATAGATCCTAAGTAGGTAATAAATATGGATTCTCCAATTGTGCATCCAACTATGTGCCTAGCCCTGTCCACTTTCATTTGAATGTAAATGTAAAATCTATAGATTTTAAATATCAAATAAATCTCTCAATCCAAATGTAGCTCAAAGTTGTATAATAAAAACGCATTATGAGTTGATGTGACAGTGGAGACTGCTGAACAGGGCTGGAGCTACATGGCAGGGGCGTCCCTGGCCCTCCTCATTAAAAAAAATATCAATATATATATATATATATAGAAATATAAAAATTATTTACAATATATTAATAATTAAAAATCAATATATATAAATAAAATAGTACAAAATATGTATATAAATATAAAAAATATTTACAATATAGTACTAATTAACACTTATTTCATTTGCTATTTTTATTTAAATTAATAAAATTATTTATTTATTAAAAAATATAATAACAATCCTTATATATAAAATTTTTAGAGAAGCTTTTGAATATATTTATAATGATTTACTCTTTTGGTCTTTTAATTGTAAATCGATTTAGTGATTAAAAATCCGAGTATTTATTGATTGAATTGTTACTTTAATGTTGATTTTTTATTTCTTTTTTGTGTAATCACATATTTTTAACTTTATTTTAAAAAAAAAATGTTTAGTTGATAAGATTTCATTAACAAAAAATCCTATGGAATGTTGTGTAAAAATTTAATTTAAATCAAAATTTCAACCCAAAAATTTATTTGTTTCGATGTTGATTTTAAATATAAATACATGAAATTTTTCTTTTTTTTTTAAGTTTGAGGGTAACACGATTTCTAACTTTTTAAAACTTGATGGTATACGTATTGATATTTATAATCATAATAAATATATTTTTATATGAAATGAGTGTTTCAATTTAAACTAAAAGCCCGTTATTTAACATTTAAAATTGGGCTCCTCTGAATGAAATTTCTAGATCCGTCACTCTTGTTGTTAAATCAGCTGACACCAATTATTCATTCGCCTATATATATACATATACATACCGGGTGTTTACTCGTGTTCTCAGCTAACTACCTTAATTTGGTCCAAGTGCTAAAATAAATAAATAAATAAATAAATGGCTGAATTCAAGCATTTGGTACTGGTGAAGTTCAAAGACGACGTCGTTGTTGAAGATATTTTGAAAGGAATGGAGAAGCTGGTCGCAGAAATGGAGACCGTCAAATCTTTTGTTTGGTCAGTCCAAAATGTTGTTAATTAATTTATTTAAATTTCTTGAGGAAATTGTTCACTTATTTAAATTGTTGCTTGATTTATAGGGGAAAGGACATAGAAAGCCAAGAAATGCTTAGGCAAGGATTCACGCACGCATTCTTGATGACATTCAGCAGCAAAGATGATTTTGTTGCGTTCGCCAGCCATCCGAATCACGTCGAGTTTTCGAACACGTTTTCGACCGCAATCGACAAAGCCCTTCTTCTTGATTTCCCAGCTGTTGCTGTCAAACCTGCTGCTGTTTGATATATATATATGTATAAGAATCATATATGTGTTGCAAAAACAAGAAGCCATTTATAACTAAATCTGCTTGTTTTCAGGTGCATTGTTAAGTTTGTTGTTTTTGTTGGAGAAAAACTATGGTACTATTTCATTAAATATTCTAATGCTGTTATTTTCGTTGAAATTATCGAATGTAGTCCAACGGAAATTCCAACAAAAATTGGTTAGTCTCACTAATCCTCTGCAACTGCTAAAAACAGAATTTTTGACAAGTTTTCTACTTTCTCATGAAATTATAGTAATGCTCGTTTGGTTTTCGATGATTTGGTAAAACTCAAAATGGCTTTCGTCGTAATGAGATGAACCGCACACATTACAATATACAAAAAAAAAAAAACTCGAGTTGGGTACAATAATCTCTTTATGTTTCCATCGGAAGAAAACGCAGTGAGATTTTTTACTTTTCAATTATTTATTATTCGAATTTGTACTTATTATGCAGAGAATGAGGTGGTTACAGTTGAGCAATTGTGAGGCCTTGGTGTGGCATGTTTTCTCATCTGAATTTGTCTGCCTTTTTATGTAATTAGCAAATTTCATTTAAGAAAAGAGAGGGAAGATTTT